TGTGCCTTTAAACGGTATTTGGAAAGCTTTCATTCCGACAGAGACTTATGTAACGTCTCTCCTGTTTACACGACTTGTTATTATCGCCACTATTAGGAACCATTTTCATAGTGAAGTCTCCATGGTTTTTGATTCCTGATTCCTTTGTAATTTGTAGACAGGCGAATTACCTATCAGCTGACAGGGAACGAAAATCGCTCGTTCGAAGAGCACATTAGTGTTGATCGACGCTGCCAAGGGCACAGCAGATGCTGCAGTTAGTCCTTTGTTTTCATTGAATCAGACAGACTTTGGTTATGTATTTCGAGAACTGCAGGCGAAGCATGACCAACTAGATGTTCACGTAGCGAACCTGAGTTGAAGATTGTTGGGTGGATTGAAAGCCCCCAGTTCGCAGGAGGTAGTTTTGTCGAAGTGCCGAGGAGCACGTGGTACCTGACAGGCTTTCTTCGATGTCGAAAAAGAATCAGCTGATCTATCTTGACGATGCTAGATTACCAGTAGTGAGAACGAGCTCAGAGGCCGCTCCAGCCTACCTCGCCTAACTTCTGGTCAGTGTAAGACATGTTATCCTACTTATAAACAGATTCTCACGAACTGACAGAATGTCTAGCTGCTTTTGAAAAGGACCTATGATTTCCGGGGACTGCTCAACTGCTGAAAAAAAAATCCCCTCAGATTACTCAGGAAATTTTTTCTAATATGAACTTGGCCATATGTTCTGCCGTTTTACGCTGTGAAGAGAAAAACAACTGCGCAACTCCCTGTCCGTGTCAAAATTTTCGGAATGATGCCTTCAATCCATTAAATCGCTCTTTAGAACTCACTTATGGAAGATGTATTGCAGAATTCTTCGTAATCAGACAACCGTGGAGTCCCCACCTGTTGAAAAGTGCCATCGCCTATGCTTAGCGGGGTCGTTGACATTCGTCGGCTATCCCATGACACCTCTGTGATAGCTTCACTGTCTTTCCGAATTCAACAGCGGTCCAAGATTAGTGAAAGGTAGGAAAGAATTTCAGAAGGGTCAGGAGGTGGAACCTGACCTGCTACGGGCATTCTGGAGAGGAGTTGGTCCAACCCGTGATAAGCTCAGATATGGAGATATTTTGAAAAAAATCAGAATTCCCCGAAATACCTCTATACCAAGAATACACTCAGAATATCAAACCATTATAGGATCCATTCAATCTGTCATGGTGCTTGAAACAAATTTGCCGTGTTTCATAGAACTGCTACAGAAGTTCACTCCCCAAGAGGCTAGACGTGCTGTCACCTTGAGAGCACGTAACTTACCTACATCTGCCAGTTCGATTTCAGGCACATGCCCTTTAAGTTTACAGCGTAGGTTGGAAATTTACCCGGCTTAGGTTAGGAGTGAAGGTCAAAAAGATTAGGCTTTTAAGTGAATTTTCCATTTTTTACAATTAAAGGCACCGTTAACATGATTTTGGGTAACCCAGATTATGATGAAAAACGAAAGACAAGATCGAAACTAGTGCGACTGAGGTGAAGAAACTGCGTGCATCGGTGTTTCCATAGTGAAAAAAGGCCTCGAAAAAACGTTAAAAAGGGGGCTGGACGTGAATTAAACCAGAAAAATGAAGAAGGTGGGGCGCCCGGACGAGCTAAACAGTGCGTTTCACTGCGCGCGTGTGGGTCCTGGTGCGAATAACAGACAATGGTAATCCAAAATTCATTCACTCATAAGCATAAATAAACAAAAAAAACCTTAGTAACAGCAAAAAGAGCTCATCTTTTTCAGATTCTAGGAGTAGGAAATTAATTAAGGGATCGCGGCAGCAAAAAGAAAAACAGAGGAAAGAAGAATGGGAGAGAAACATCGCCTCATCACTCGGCGGTTAGCTGTTTGTGCGTGGGTCCTAGAACGAATAATAGCAATCGGTATTGTCTCGACATTCGTCTAACGTGACACCGATCGAGGGGCGGAGGGCGACCGTGGATAACTCTCCGGCCCCTTATTGTGCCCTATCCAGCCGTTTTCCGGCCCCATTCCTGCACAAATGGTACCAGAGGGGGGGGGTCCGGGAACTTTTCCCCTAACACGGCGTCGCACACGCCGCACCCGCCGCCTATCGCAGGATTGCGATGAAAGATAGGAGCGCGCAATTTGTGAGGTAGGGAGTCCTTTAATTACTTGAATTGGCTGACCGCTTCCTTCAATTTCAATGCAGTCTTGACCGCCGCTTGCATAGGAGGAGTCATTTTAATTAATCAAGTCCAATAAACATGAAGACTAAAGAGAAACAGAAGAAAAAACGATAAAATCCAATGAAAAAGCAAGCCAGTCAAGGAAAAATATCGCGTCCTATCGATTTTCGGGAGGCGGGGTGAGTACAGTAATTGCAGTGACATTTGCCGCATGCCGCAAGGGAGAATGCCGCGATAGGGGAGAAGTTCCGTTACCCCCAGAGGGGGCTTCGAATTCAAACCATGTGCAAATCTCCGAAACCACTTTTTCGTGAACAGTGCCTTTAAATTTCACTTTCGGTTTGATAACGATGTTTCTGAGGTTTGTGTGGTGTTTGGTTCATGGGAAAGCAATAGTGGCCCTAATCATCTGCCCATTGAACATCACACTGTCCACTGATTCTTGGTCCACTTATCCATCACTAAAGCACATATTGTTTATCATTGCAATCATCACGTTATGTCTGTTTGGAAGGTGGAGGGAAAAATATCCAGTGGGAATCATGTTTCCCCATAACGTCCTGCCCTAGGGTGTGAGACTTACTTTTTTGTTGTGAGGATGGAGGGGAATGATACACCAGCGTATTGTTTTCGAACTGGATGGACTCCGGTCTTCGTGGTTGCCCTTCATTTTGCCCTTTGGCGTCATGTGCAAGGCGTGCACGCGACTTCTGTTATATTGTGATGGACTTTACGATGAGCAGGGTCCAGGTGCAACCACTTTCACCTCACGTCATGCTAGCAGGCCTCAGTTTCGTTATGAAATGAATCAGCAGTTTGACTGAAATTTCGAAAACCCATCTGTAACGAACTGCAGTGATGATCGGATGAACAGCTCCCGGCTCTTCGGCGAATGTGTATTGGAAAGGCCCACACAATGTAGGACCTTAGGCTCCAAGGGGCTCAACATCTTGCTATTTGTTTCTACAAGAAGGAAATGAAATGGTTGGTGGAGACCTTCCCAGAAGATACGTAACCGCATAAAAACGGTCAATTGCTGCATGCCGTAGTTCCGCCTGACTTGCCCTTCGTCCTGTGATCGAAATGCTACAGCGTTGACTGGCACCCAAGCCATTCCTCATAAATCATCCATCCGACTGAATATAGACTCTTCTAAGCTTGTTTCAAGTGCTGGGTGGATCATCAGAGCAAGCGTTTTCCTCTCTACTCTCTCTCTCTTTTATCATCCAATCCTCTTCGCTGCACCCTCGTGCTCATGCAAAAAATAGGGTGATTGGGTAAGTACAACGTAGGAAGATTCTGTACTTTCTCAGCCCCTATCCACTGTCTTCATTTGAACGACACAACTAACCCGTGCCAACTCAAATCCATACCCCATGGTTGTCATATGATGCCGCGCCAGGAATCACATTCACTGAGCAGTACTAAATCATGGGGTGTGTCAGCAGCTTTCCTAGATGCAACACCTATTCTTCCCTCTTTCACACTTGCAGGCCAGTAAATAGTTCTCACGTACGAAAGGGCTACCCCTAAAATGACCATGCCTCAGCCTTCCAACGATTGGCTCATCGAGCGACTTCTTTCAAGCCAAGTTCAGATAGTTCAGCGACCACAGTCGGAAGAATTTTATGCTACCTCACTGGAAACGAGACTTGCTAAAACGACAGAGCCACTGATCATGCTGAAGCTTTCAGTGAAGTTGGTGAGGGTGGTCCTGAAACATGATTGATGATGAACCGAGGTGGAGGGGAGGGAGGGTGAAAATGGAGTGGAAAATGAAGTACTCTCTTTCGGGTTCTTTTCTGCGGTCACTGCGTGAGGTGGCATCCTACTAGTGTACTGCCTTCATATAGGCTTCTCACAGGCTGTCAGTGTACCACCTTGTCTGGCTCTCCCCTTTCTCTTACGCGTTAGTTGGAGAACACTTTGAAAGGGCTTCTTTGCATTAGTGGAGGAGAAATCAAAATCCATCACACCTGCGCTCTGGCCGTTGTCGTTGGAGATGAAGGGTAAAGTGATGTGGCATCACCCATTTCCACTTTCACCGATGGAGAAAAAGATGAGTGACTTTCACGACGGCCGTCACAAAGGAGCAGAAAGGGAGATGAAAGAGTAATGATGGGAAGTTACTGAGAGTGTGACTAACCCTTTACGAGCTTCGAGCAAATTTGTTCTTGGTTGAGTCAGCAAGTGATGTGGAAGTGGATAGGGTGATAGCAAGTGATAAAAACTGATAAGATGGTGGTATCAAATAGGAGGGTTCAGCTGCCCCTACAGCTTTCATTTAAAGGCTTTCGAAAAATTTCATTGTTATACTACTGTTTTAAAGTACATTCTGCGTCTCTATGCATGTCCCTGACTGATTCACATCCTGAACACCTCAGCCTGCCGACCTCTGGCAATTGCTCAATCTATCGACCTGTTCTGAAAATCGGGTTATACCTGCTAATCATTAAATCGCTGATTTTGTATCGGACAGAGTTCAGAAATTCTTGACTCAGATCTCCTATTTCCTACCATTTCTTCGCTTCATCGCTTGTTGGTCCTACTTTCGGATCGGGCATTCACAGGAATTGGTGGAGCAGTCAATCATGAGCAATCGGTGCCGTTTTGACCTCCAAGCACTTCATTCTGCTAGGAACTAAAATTCGAAAAAAATGGATTAAGAACAGTTGTGCTGGCTAAAGTTCAACCGAGGGTCAGGCGTCGATCGGTCGTTGTCCCGGCTAGCACATTTGGCTCCTGCGGCCGTCTCACATGACCCGACGAACGCCCGTCGCCGGGGCGTGTCCCTGAGCAGAGTAACAAACCCTTCGTCAGTCTCAACGATGATCATCTCCCGAGATATCCGCTTCACTGATGAACAACAGCACCAACTGCAGGTATGTACACTGTGCAGATCTTCCTGTCAGTCACATTTGGCTTCCATCTGCAAACTGGTTTTCTCCTCAAGCCACCTCCGTATTGACTCAGCTGATTGCTTGTCACTGTAGGTCCGTTCCTTCCTTACCTCGCAGTGTTTCCACTTCCATTGTTGACCAAATGAACAGGAAGTCTGCAGTGGATTTCCGTTTTGTACATGTTCCTCTTGTTCAGTATCTTTCTGACGAAGCAGAGAACGCAACCACATGCACTCAACGGTCTCTGATTTTTGGATCTGCAATTTCTCGGCTCCCGACAATGTTCTATTTAGGGAAGCTGAAAAGCTCCGAATAGCCAACCCTGACTTGAGCAAATAGAGCCCGTTGACCTTCAGCTTCCTTTTTTCTTTTCCGAACATAGCAATTGTGCTCCTTCGGTCTCGGAGAGGTGTTGAGCTATTATATGAGTAAACTTCAAGGGGAACGGTAGGATAAAAGGTCTACATGCCCTAGTTTCCCGGTTTTCAACTTCTGCGGTCATCAACAAAAAAGAGATGAGAGCTGTGCAGATATCCCTGTAATCCTCTCCTGTTTTTACTTTCTTTAGATGTTATTGAGCTTTTAATGTCGTCTGCGACAGTCAGTGCCGGCACTCGACTTTGGTCGGGTCGCACGAGTCGCTCCTCATTCACTTTTCACAACAACACTGTTGTGGTCAACATCCCAGCAGCGCGACCTGGCGACGGCGAATCGTCGCGCGACATTGTCGCTGATCACCTTCGGATCACGTCGCGTCGTCGCGTCGCACCACAACTGTCAACAGAAATCAGCT